GGTTACTTCTGCCCCACAAGAATCTGTCCACGCTTACCTGAACAAGAAAAGAGTTAGGGTTACGAGCGTCTTTTTGGATACGGAAGTAGTGTGCATGCGTCGAGATATATAAAACAAACAAATTTCAATTTTTCGGTCTGCGTTTGTTTTGGCTCGGTTTATACCAAAAACTCTGGACGTTTTTGATATGATGATGATATACAACAGCAGGAACACTTAATAAGGAGAAGAACGTATAATATATAGTTTAATAACATACGGGAAATACCCCGAGACAACAAAGGCTTTGGGAGTACAAAGCAACACCTCTCTAAACTAACTCTACTCACAGTGAAAAAGAACCCCTCGCTTGCCTTCCAAGGTAAAACTTTTGTGAAACAACAAAACCGGGTTAGTTTTCGGTCCACCATTTTTTTTTTGCATCCTGGAGTCTCCTCTGGTGAAGCCTTAGTATGAGAACTCGTGGCCACGGAGAGAGATGTATTTCTTGACCCAAATGGCAATATCTTCTGCACAAGCCTGAGCTTGAGGAGTCCTAAGAAGCATGTCGAGTGTTGCAAACTCGTGAACCGCGTCTTTGTACTCCAGCACGGGAGCATCTACATTGACCTTCCTTAGCTCTTCTGAGTAAGCGATGGCTCGGTCTCTCATCCAGTCATGCTCTGCAACAATGGTTAGTGTCGGTGGCATGAACTTGAGCGGTGGGCCTCGGCCTGGAACGAGCGGGTTCGCTGCCGGGTGGTCCAGGCTGAATTCTTCTTCTGGTAAGAAAAGCTTCCAAGCGAGAATGCACATGGGTTTGTCGTAGAAGTAGGAGTTTGCTTGTTTGATCTCGGACTGTGTGGGAACGCTGCCGATGAAGAACGGGTACATTAAGACTTGAGCCACAACCTTGACAGGGTTTAGATTCTGACCAGCTTCAATGGCTTTGCGGGCTACGTAGTCTGCTATGTTGGCACCACAACTCACACCAAGAAGCACACATCTGAAGTTTTCAAATTTTTGAGAAGTTACAGAACTCAGTAAGATTGGTTTTCACCTGAATCACATGAAAGCAACGATCTAGACAATCTTATAAAAGTATAAACAGAAATTATTGCTCAGAACACTCTGCTGGGTTCTAATTTCGCTATCCTTGGAAGTTCTTATGAAACCAAGACAAGACTTAAGGAAAAAAAGGTCCTTGAATTACGTAAAATCAGCGATCATTAAAATCTGGAAAAAAAGAGGTCTAAGTGTGGCAAATAATATGAATGACATTTGACATAAGAAGCGCATTTTCAGGAATCTTAATCCGTAAGTAGATGTTTTTTATCTATTAAAACAGGTTTGCTCATCCATTTCCAAGAAGGTTCTCGGAATCCAAAGGATCGAATTTACATATTGAGCATGTCCTAGGCCAAAGCAATCAACGAAGACCAATACAAAGCCATATATCATGCCAGATGATGAGAGGAGAAGCAGCAACAGAGATCCCCAAAGGAAGCAAGTCTCTTATGACAAATTTCAAGACATGATAAGGATATAAAGCCTACTGAGGTCAGCAAATGAAGCTGAACTTAGTACCAATACCAAAAAAACAACAATATATTTCATCAGATACTTCCACGAGTATATCACAGATCAAAGATCATAAAGGACATTGCATAGCAAAAGAATTGACATTAGAAGTTAGATTTTCAGCTGGAGAAACCTATCTACGCAGGCAGACACTCACAAACTATTGACCGTCTCTCTCACTAGTTTCCTTCTCAGAGCTAAGTACACTATCTGAATAACACTAGTTTCCATTTCATAAGCAATGCAAATGGAAAGCCTTTGTTTACCTCGAGGGATCGGCATGAGATGCGAGCCAAGGCTCCACCATGGATGCACCAAAAGCATCAACTATATGCTTATTCACTTCTGACTTCTTCACCTCTCCACCAGGCCGCCGTGAATTTCCCATCGACTTATTGCATTCGGCGAGATTCGCCTGCTTCCCCAGCCACTGCAACACCTTGAACCCGTCCTCATACGCCGCCGGATACCGGTTCTCAGGCGCAAGCCGGTACCCGACGGCCAAAACAATGACGTCGCAGTGCTTCGCCATCCTTCTGCAGAAGAAATCATTGGCCACTGAGTCATTGCTTCCACTTACCCATCCACCACCGTGGAACTGCAACATCACGGGGAGTTTTCTAGAGTTTCCAGCCGACGAAGACGACGGTGAGTACCCTCTGTACACGTCGGAGGACCCCGCACCGATATTCTCAGGGGAGGAGGACCCGGTGGTGTAACCGTAACTGTTCCTCCTGGATTCTGCCTTGTGAGACAACAACGAATTAGACGAGCCGTAGCTGTTTCTTCTAATAAGAAGATCCGATCCGGCGAGGTGGTTGAGATTTCGAGCCTTACCGGAATGGTTACCGGCGGCGCTCGGTTCGACCGGCCTGAGAGCGGATTCGGGCAGGAAAATACGTACGGACAGAGAAGTTAACGGATCGATATGGATATCTTTGGTGGCGACGCCGTCGGTGAACAGCGGATTCGGAGCAGCGACGGATTCTTCGGGTCGGGTCGTGACGCCGAACGGATCCGAGGAGGAGTCGTCGCCGGCGGACTGAATCCGGTTCTGCAATCGGTGCTTCAAAAGGAACTTGAAGAAGACACTGTAGAGCTTCACACCAACGCTCGGCATTTTCCTTTTCCTGTCCGGCAAAACTCGAATTTGGGAAGCCCCTTTTCGTGGCTTTACAGAGATTTCGGATCCATGGAATGGATAGAGGAAGAAGAAGCGAGATTAACGTGAAAATTGCATCGGATTTGGGTTTCTGGAGACTGAAGATTGCTTCAATCTGGAGCTTCGATTGAGGTGAAAGATGAGCGTAATGGAGACAACAAGGTTAGACAAAACGAATTAAAGCAAAGAAGCTTAGGTGGGAAGAGAGACTGAGGATTAATAAATTTTAACTATATAGAAGAAGGCGATATTTATTGTTTTTTGGAGGTTTTATTTTTTCTTCTGTACGGTCCTACTCATTAAGTTCAGGTGGTAAAATACTAATGACTTATTTGAGCTTGACCCCAAAAAAAAAAGGACTTACTTGATAGTTGAGTATATGATTTTTGGATATGTAATATACTGGTTTATGTTAATTGTTATCGCTTTTGTGTCTACTTCATTCGAATTTGAATCAACATAATGTATATTCTTGACGAAAAGGTAATATTATAAGAAAAAACAACACTGAATCAATGGCAAAATTTGAGTCGATGAAATATTCGGACTCTTAAAAAAGCTATGCGACGAGTTCCAACACCTTGGCCTACAGACTAATTCCCATAAACCGGGTTTCTGAGTTACTTATCTAAGACATTCCAATAAAACCAATCACAGTTTGATTCGAAACCGATTAAGATATGTGAGTGCATGCATCTATATAAAAGGTTGTCACCGTGTGTCATTATCACTAACACGAGAAGCATAAGAATGACAGTAAATAAATCAGAAGTCATAGACTCATACATACAATGGATTAAGACCGTCGGATTGCCTCGTTAGTCATTACTATCAAAAGCACATCACACTCGTTTTTTTTCTAGATTCTACGACAAAACATGCATAACACGACAACTCAAAACTTGGTCTTTGAACCCGGATAATGTATTCTTCAATTCAAATCTCTCTCGTTTACCTCTAAAAACATTCCAATTTATCTTTATTTTAGAGGAAAAAATAAAGTTTAGAGAAAAATTCTCTTCAATCTTCCTCTATTTTTACTTCTAAAATAGAGGTTGCTATATTTCCCTCTATATTTGGATGAACTTTATTTATTCTTCTATAATAGAAATGCACTTTTTTATTTATAAACTGGTCTCTTAACTTTTACATCTTTTTATTTTTATTTATATAACAAATAAAAAGTTAAATTAAATATTTACATAATCTAGTTTGTATAAATCCAATAAATAGCCATATATCTAACATATAAATTTAATTAAATTATAAAATGTTATCTAACTTTAATAAAGTTTAATAAAATCAACATCATTTCAGACAATAAATATTATAGAAAAACAAAAAACATTATTTACTTTAATTAACTATATAATTTATAAATAAAAGTGGTTAATCCACGATAAAAAAAATGAACATGAATAGCAATATAGTATACACATGTACAATAATACGTCAATAAAGTTAGATTATACAGTTTTGTATGTTATTAAATACAAAAACTCAATAAATAAATAAATTTAATAATTTTTGTTATGGTTTGAAAAAAATTTGTTAACATATAATATAACTAAATTGGAAAATTCTCATTTATTTAAAACTAAATTATAAATAAAATGATAACTTACAATAATTTTTTAAAAATACAGAAAATTATAGAAAATGATAAATACTATAGTGATTTAATAAATTTTTTGAAAATTATGGAAAATTACAATTACTATAGTCATTTTGAATTTTGTTTTATGAAATAAATGTTTAATTTTAATATACTTTTATTATTTATGGAAATTTTTGTAAACAATAATATAAATGGATTAATTTATAAATTTTATGAAAAGAATGTGTTAATAATAAATTATAAAGAAAATTTTGTTAAAATATTTATTTTTAAAGGAAAAATAAAGAAACATATTAGAGAAAAGTGCACCTCTATTTCAAAGGAAAAAATAGAAAAATACATTGGAAATGATCTAACGAGAGAGCAATAGAGAATATGGGAGAGAACAAGGAAACATGTACGTCTCTAACGACACATATGTCATAGCATCTCACGCTAAATCAAGTGCATCCGCCTCTACAAGTTTCGACACACTCTAGAAACCATTTTTCTTCGTTGAATCACTTCTAAGCTCACCCAAAACCTAACCAACACATTTTCTCATAATATTTCTTTTTCTTACTTGAACGCCGAAAAAGATAATCGGAAATGTATAACGAGTTTATCTGTAACAAAACATAAAGTGGTTTTATTCTTAAAATACTCAATAACTTTGGATAAGGCAATTAAATAAAATAGAGAAATGTGATATTTTACATAAAGACCCCCAAATTTTGATGCGCCTCCTTTTTTAAGCAGAAATCGCATATAGACGGAGATTTGCAGCGAAGGAAGTAAAGAATAACTTGCTGATGTTTGTAGATGACCCGACGCTACTGACCTTGAAGCGTAGACGACTCTCGATCATCGATTCCATGGATGCTTCTTCAGCTCAGGTGTGACTTACTTCTTCTCCGTCGTTGGTTATCATTTGATTTCTCATTCCATTTCGATTTTGCTCGATCTGGAATTATTTTTCTGTCGGCGTTTGAAAGTTTACTGGTTTCTTCTTCTCCCTTCCGAGCTCACTCAAGTTTCGCTAGGGATTTTGACTTTCCTTGCTGATGAATTGTGTCGAATCCGAAGTTTATTTAGTTGATTTCATATAATCAGGCTAAAATTGCTGGCATGCGAGAAAAATATGGGCGAGAGATTCGTGTATTCGAAACTTCGAGCATTTCTCAGAGGCCAAATCAAGCTTCTGGTGCTGGTAAGTCCGCGGAGAAGGATGTGGAATGATTTCTGTTTCTAGCTAATAATATTGCATTCGTCTCTCTCTCTTGATTTCTCTGAATTTGAAGAATTCTTGTTTTTGTGATTGTGTTCTGTGAAATTTCAGAAGAGGAATCTGATGAATACTACGAGCTCACAGCTGCAGATTATTACCGCCTTTTGGCAACTAAGAAAGAAGGTAAGACGCTTCTGAAGAATCTGATGAATTTGTATGGTTTCGTATACAACAATCTGGCGTATTCCATGGGAATTTGCATATCGATTTGGGAAATTGCTCACCGAATCCAACTGTTCTTAATGTTTTCTGAATGGATTGCTTGCTTCTCTTTTCCCCTTGAGTTCTAAATACAAAGCTCCTCTCATGACCGTAAAGAAATCACAATCTTGGTTGTTTACTTCCTCTAACATGTGAATTTTACATCTACAAAAGATAAATCCTTGAAGACGAGAAAACTCCGGGAAGCAGAAGAAGCCGCTCGTCGAGCAAAGCTGACAAAGGTTCTTATTACTTTCTAAAAACAATTTCTGTTCTTGTTTCGTGCTTGTAAACTAGTTTTTACCTCACTGGCCATTTATACATTGATACTATCTATCTAGGCTGTAACCAGGGTTCGTTTCCCCGATAATCACACATTGGAGGCAACGTTTCATCCCTCAGAGAAGATACAATGCGTGATTGATCTCCTCAAAAGAGTAGTTGCACACCCAGATATTCCTTTCTACTTGTGTATGTTTCCATTACTCGATTTTCGAAATTTATGTATTCTCAAGGCAAGAAACCTGATAGCGTACCATTTTTTTTTGTAGACACAACTCCTCCCAAGAAGCAGATCAAAGACTTCTCACAAGACTTCTACTCCGCTGGTTTTGTTCCTGGAGCAATCGTCTACTTTGCAAACGATCAGCCAAAAGGTTAGTTTGTGCCATTACCTTCACACGTTAGTATAGACTATAGACTTCCTGTTTCTCTTGGAAACATGTATTGCATTGCAATCTGTATTGGATTATATAGATTTCGTGAGTGAGATCTATTTAAGAGACCGAAAACTACCCCTGAAGAAGTTTAGGATCATGTTAACACATATTGAACAGTAATCTTAGAAAGCTGGTTAAGTTGGATGTGTCAAAAAGATTCTATGTTGAACTATAATCTTGATTTCTTGAAAAAAAAAAGAGATTGTTGGGAAGAGAACTGAGCTCAGGACTTATCTTTAAAACCATTAATGATATTTGCAGATAATGGTGCTAGCTCAACTCCTTATCTTAGTGAAGAGATCTTGTCACTGAAAGATTTAGAGGTCATGAACAAAGCAGAGGAACCGGTTGAGCCATCTTCAGAGACAGACACGAGCGACGCTGCTTCTGTACCGGTTGACCAAGAGCCTAAACCCACGGAGAAAAAAACCACAAAGCCAAAGTGGTTTAAAATGTGACTGAGCATCGTTACCAACAGGAGAAAAATGATGTTGCCTTTAAAATGTGACGGTTCCAGTGTGTCTCTCTAACAGTGGCAATCTTATTGTGTCGGTAATGTCTTGGCTCATTTGGATTTTATAGCATTTCGTCTTCGTTGTTTCCCTGTTCTCGTGGTAAGATAGAAACTAGAAAGTAAATGCTACGTCGTATGATTTACAGATGGTGGTGTTTTGCTCTAATGATATATGGACTATGACTATGGCATATCAATCAATAGCTAGCTAGGGTGAAATGAATTTTACAACTCAATAGCTAGCTGGGGTGAAATGAATTTTACAACTTCAAAAACATGAATTATTATTACGAATTGGAGTCGGTGGGTAATTAACTAATTATTATTATTACAAGGGTGACAATTTATTTTTGTCGTGTTGACTTTTCTGCTCCACAAGATACCTCAGCATATACGTAACAAAATCTATTCGCGAGGAGGGCGTGATGGATCATGGGATGCTGAAGCTCAACCACTACCACTCTCGATTCTCAAATCATTACACTCTCCATTTAATTAATCTATAATTATTCCTTGGTGCATTTACGTAATTATTGTTTTATTTCTTTTGAACAACGATTCTTCTTAGATTACATTACAGTCCTTTTTTGTTTTTAATTACCTGTCTTTCTAATTATCTGCAAAAGCGCTACGCACTACTATCAAGCTACTGTCTCTCCACAATTAGACATAAAACAAAAAATTCTCTCCAAAGTGCTGAATTGTTTTGCCTCCGCGCGTCTTCTAACGTCTTCCGTCGCAGGTAAAGATCTCTTATTCGATTTCTTCGTCGTTCCGATCATTTTTTTAATCGTTCAGATTGTAAAATTTAGCCAAAATTCGTTTGATTCCGTGACTATCTTAATTGTTTCTCCGACTCTCGACGAAACCCGATCCATTATTCGTTTTGATATTGGGTTTTCGTGGCTGTGTTATTAGTTAAGATTCATCTTATTCTTGTCGAGATTCGAATTGTTTGATATTATCTTTCATATAAACTATTTGGTTCATCATCAATCAGTCATAATTCTATAACAGGAAATAACGATTCCGATTCTGCGTCATATTTTTTGATTCGATTTTGCAGGTTTGTGTGTTCTTCTGTTTTTTTTTTTTGTGGTGAGAGGATTACGTTTTTCTGTGGAAGATGGGTTCTGGGCAATGGCACGTTGAGAAGAGGTCTACTCTGAGGAACGATTCGTTTCTGAAAGAGTACGCCCCTGTCTCTGAAACTGGGAGCCTCGCGATCATTGTTCTCGGTGCATCTGGTGATCTTGCCAAGAAGAAGACATTTCCTGCACTTTTCAATTTATACCACCAGGTTTTATCTCCAAATTTCTCACTATGTTTATTGTTTCAATGCCAAAGTGTTTCTGATGGTTATTGGATTACATGACCACAGGGGTTTCTTAATCCAGATGAGGTTCACATATTTGGATATGCGAGGACTAAGATTTCTGATGAGGACCTGAGAGATCGGATCCGTGGGTAAGATGGATCCTACTTTACTCATGTTTGTTTTTCTTTTTGACAGATCTATCTCTTGAGTCAAATGAAACCTTGAATCATTGTAGATATCTTGTTGATGAGAAGAATGCATCTGAGAAAGCAGAAGCTTTGTCCAAGTTTCTCCAGCTGGTTAGTCTTATATACATTTTTTAGAGCATTTCGATTACATTTTATTTGGGTTATACTGAATAAAACACAATCGCTGGTTCTGAATTTTTTTTGTAGATTAAGTATGTGAGTGGGCCTTATGATTCTGAGGAAGGGTTCAAAAGATTAGACAAGGCGATTTCAGAGCACGAAATCTCGAAAAAGGTCTCTGAAGGATCTTCCAGGAGATTGTTTTATCTTGCACTCCCGCCTTCTGTATACCCTCCTGTATGCAAGATGATCAAGGAATGGTGCACTAACAAATGTGAGTTACTCTTACATTTTGACCAACAACATTAGTACACAAAAGATTAAACTTGCGTAACTCTCACTGGAATGCGTTAATCTTGCAGCTGATCTTGGTGGATGGACTCGGATCGTTGTTGAGAAGCCATTTGGGAAGGACCTTGAATCTGCAGAGCAGCTGAGTTCTCAGATTGGGAAGCTGTTTGATGAACAACAGATTTATCGTATTGATCACTATCTGGGGAAGGAATTAGTCCAAAACATGGTAACATCTATTTTGCTTCTAAGGTCAATAATTTTTTTAAAAAATTTATTTAGAGAGACAAAGATCGTCGTCTTACACATGCACCATTTTGCAGTTGGTCCTCCGTTTTGCCAATCGGTTCTTTTTGCCACTATGGAACCGTGACAATATCGACAACGTGCAGGTTAGAGCTTGATTGCTTAGCACAGAAACTTCTAAACCTTTGTTTAGAGTTATGTCCTCAAAAAATTTTATGTCCTTTTGCAGATTGTTTTCAGGGAAGATTTTGGAACCGAAGGCCGTGGGGGATATTTTGATGAATACGGGTGAAATTTTTTCTCAGTGTGTTCTTTAAATATGATGTACATGAAGGGAGCGATATCATTGCATTCTGATGACTTGTGTTATTTTTTCCATTTCAGAATCATTCGTGATATTATTCAAAACCACTTGCTCCAGGCAAGTGTTTGCACTTTTTAAATATTTGTCTCTTGTGAACAATAACACGAAATTTTCTCCATTGGACTGTTTTACTTGGAGTTTGCTTTCATATGTATTAAGTAAATTTAGTGTGCTGCAGGTTCTTTGCCTTGTCGCCATGGAGAAACCAATCTCTCTTAAACCCGAGCACATCCGGGATGAGAAAGTGAAGGTGATCCATATTCTAGTGATCACAAATTTTCTCTGATTCTTATCGCTCACTACTTATTATGTTCGATTTAGTCACGTTTTCATTACCAAACTTCTGGAGGAGATTATTTTTCATCCTATTGGACCAAGTGATATCTTCATTTGCATTTTCAGCTAATTAATACCAATTGATTGATTTTTGTATGAACCTCAGGTTCTCCAATCGGTGATTCCTATAAAAGATGAAGAGGTGGTTCTTGGACAATACGAAGGGTATAAAGATGATCCAACTGTTCCAAATGACTCAAACACTCCAACTTTTGCCACAACAATCCTTCGCATAGACAACGAAAGATGGGAAGGTGCCGTGTCCCCCCTTTCACTCTTCATCTTCTCATCTTCTTTGTCAAGTTTCGTAGATCATCTAAAATACCACATGATAGAGAGAGATTAGACATTGGCTCAATTCATATTGTTATTCTCCATATATAAGGTTCGAATCTAAAAACATGACGTAACATCTTATAACGAAACAGACGTTTGCTCTGTTCATTGATTAAGCACTCTCTTCAGGTGCCACCTCTTTCTCAAAATCTCTGTCCGTTAGTAGTGGTTTAGTGACTTTTGGATTGGTTTATCTTTCAGGTGTTCCGTTTATACTGAAGGCCGGAAAGGCAATGAGTTCAAAGAAGGCAGATATTCGCATTCAGTTCAAGGATGTTCCTGGCGACATATTCAAATGTATGTATCTTGAGCAAATCGAACCTTTCTCACATACCAAGTATATGTACCGATACCAAAAAAATTGTTGGTCTAAACTCTCATGCAATGCAACAGGTCAAAAGCAAGGGAGGAACGAGTTTGTGATACGCTTGCAACCTTCAGAGGCCATGTACATGAAGCTAACTGTAAGTGCACGATGTAACTAAATGAACATACATATCTTAGTCTGACTGGGAATGTGTGTAACCCAAAAACTGAATTTTGTCATTTGATCAATCTGAAATATTCGGGGTTTGGTGTACAGGTGAAGCAACCGGGTCTGGAGATGCAAACCGTGCAGAGTGAACTAGACCTATCGTACAAGCAACGTTACCAAGGTGTCTCGATTCCAGAGGCTTACGAGCGCCTAATTCTTGACACGTATGATGAATCTAAAATTCCATCTACCTTGTATCAAAACATGTATTCTTGCTATTAAATAACCAAATTATGTATCTTCCTGCAGTATCAAAGGAGACCAACAACACTTTGTCCGTAGAGACGAATTGAAGGTACTGTTTACCTTTGTCCTTTCAAGAACCAAAACAACTTTTGGTTTTAAACTTCCACAATCTAAATTTTCAACCCAATTATCTTGATTAATCACAAAACAGGCAGCTTGGGAGATCTTCACTCCGCTACTTCACAGGATCGAAAAGGGAGAAGTGAAATCGATCCCGTACAAAGCAGGAAGCCGAGGCCCAGCCGAAGCAGATCAGCTACTTAAGAAAGCTGGTTACTTGCAGACCCATGGCTACATTTGGATCCCTCCTACACTGTAAGATTCTATAAACATGGAGATGATGATGAGTAAACACAAAATAATCCTGCTGAATAAAAGATCTCTTCACGAGTTTGTTAGTGAATCTTATATATATAGTACTAGTGATCTTCACTAGTACATTGCTTATCTCTTGTGCTTTTGGTGGTAATAATGTAATCTTTGGTTATTTTTTATTTTTTTTTACCCATATCACAAAGCACCTTTGTAGACAATTTAATGAAATTAAGAGGCTTTTTCATTTTAATATTATCTTCTGTCATTGTGATTTTATTTGATTTTCAGGTACAGAAAAACGGGTCCGAGTTTAAAAAAAAAAAAACGAATCAAAACCGAAAATCTCAAACCAAATACTACGGAGTTCATCAAAATCAAATCACAATGACAATTAAAAAAAAACTATTGCTATGAATAAAGATTAAAACTGATGCCAAAATAAATAGATTTGTAACTACTACTACCTTTTTTGGGTCAGAAATTACTAGTAAGTTAATGATCTGTTAACCGCATATTTTTTACTAAACACAGGAGAATAATTTTAATAGAATTTGGTAACACAGTATCTGAATAAAACTAGTGAAAAGAGAATAAAACTAAGTAAAAAGAGAGAAGAGTTGTTGTTAAAGAATGTAGATTATTTATGGAAAACTAATTAATTATGTTGACTAGATAAATTAATTAAGGGTCCCATTAATTAATTAGTGAATGACTTATTTAAGAAAAAATGTCGTTGGTGCAGTTATAAAGATCTAAATGAAAAAATATCGGGAAAAGAAGGACATTTATCATTAATGGGAGAAAAAGAAAAAAAAGGTCATTTTATAGTTAGACACGCGCCAAATTCCTTTTGTTATCGTATGAATGTCAAGAGACACGCGCCAAATTCGCACCATCCACAATAGAGAAGGCCCTAATAAGTCCCCTTCATTGAAAACCATTCTTCTGATTTTCCCAAATTTAAAAAAAAAAAACAACTTTCTCCGCACAATCTGAAATTCCGATCTTCTTCTTCCTCTCAATCCTCTTTCTTTCTCTCCTATTTTTCTGTTCCCGCTGATTTTGCCATCCCATTCGTTCTTGGTTCGTTACCATTCATTCTCTCGCCGTTTTTTTTTTTTGTTTGTTGGATCTATTTAGATTCTTTTTTTTCTTTGTCAAAATTGATTGCTGTTTTAGTCTTTTGATTTCGTTCCTCTTGAGAGATTTGTTCCTTCTCTAAATCTATTCTTCATTCTCAGTTATTTAGCTTAATTATGTTCCCTTTCGTTTGGTTTTTTGGATCAGATGCGTAATTGAGCTTTAGAATTTTTCACTAAAAGAAACTAGAGAAGTGTGTACTGGTTTCGCTTTTCAAGGGATTTGGAAATAGGAAGATGGAGATCAACTGCGACGGGCTTGGAGGTTCTTACGCCGCTTGGGGTGTGCCAAAAGCTGGCTGTTACAGAGACGTGGAATGGGGTTTTGGTAAATTGGGTGGATTCGGGGAAGACGATTTCCTCAATAGATTCTCGTTTTCTAGTTATGAGATGCTTTACGATACAGTGAATTGGGTTGGTAGTGGTAATGGTAATGGCTCTGTGATGGGTAACACTTTGTTCAATGATTTTGTGGGTTTTGGTGAAATCACTGGGAACACTGTGTTTAGCAGTTTGCCTGAGGATCCGTTTTGTATGAACATCAGATCGACTCTGAACACAATCTCAGATTGGTTTCATGAGAATCAGATGGATTTAGTATCATCAGATTCTCAGGATGAACCAGTGGGTACTAGTACGATGTTGCAGCAGCAAATCAGCGACCTGAAGTTTAATGGCTTTGAAGGATTGGGTGAAGTCGCATTGCCTGAGGACCCATTTTGCATGAAAGTTAGATCGACCTTGAACACAATCTCGGATTGGTTTCATGAGAACCGGAGGGATCTAGTATCGGAATCTCACGGTGACCCAGTTTGTGCTGTCGACGGGAAACAGCAACTCGAGGGCAGTGATGTTGACGATGATGGTGGTGAAGAACCTCATGACGCCTTTGAGTTAGTCCTTCCGTATCTGGAGATGAAAGATGTTCTTGCGGTTGAAGGAGTTTGTAGGTCCTTGCGTGACTCGGTCAGAAAAGAGCCTTTTTTATGGAGAGCCATTGACCTCAGTGATTCTTCTCTTAAGTACAGAGTAACTGATGATTCTCTCTTGAAGTTAACACGCCGCGCTCAAGGTAAGCTTCAGTGTTTGAATCTGGGAGGATGTGTAAGCATCACTGATAATGGCATGATGCAAGTGCTTGCAAGCAATCCGCATCTCACAAAGGTTAGTTTTTATAATGAGAATATAGTCATTAAGCGTGAACTTTCATGTATATAATTATAGAAATGTGGTTGCTTGAGTTAAAAAAATTTGAATGCCCCTTAGAGACTTTGTTATACAGATGTGTTTACTAATAACTTGGACAATTGAAAAAGCCTACTAATCGTTAGCTTACAATAATGGAACCAATCTTGTTATCTGATTCAGAGTCTTTGTGCAAGTGTATCTGTTTTCAGTACTGGGTTTAAGTCTCTGCATACTGCTCTGTCTTTACATGTTCTTTGATTATTATCTTATAAGCTTGTTGAAGTCGGTGTCCCTAACACGATGAATGTTTTTATATATGTATTTTGCAGCTGAGCGTATCGGGATGTCTTGGACTAAGCACAGCAGGAATGTTGTCCATTTTAAGGGACTTGAAATCCTCAAACCGACTTGGAGTGAAAAGCCTTATCACAGGTGGGGCATTATATTTCACAAAGGAGCAATTTAAAGAGCTGAACTTGTTACTTGGATCAGATGCCAAAGCGGGTGCAAAATCGAGGAGGCAGAGATTGTATACATCTTGTAGATCAGAGTTCTCTTTAGATGACGATCGAGTTACTGACCTGGAGATATGCCCGTGGTGTGAGAAACCAAGTCTGGTGTTTGATTGTGCAGCAGAGAGCTGTCCACTGAAGGAACATCCTTGTCCTAAATCATCGTGCAGAGCTTGCATAGTCTGCATAGAGCGTTGTCACGACTGTGGGAGTTGCTTGAATGACTGCGAGCACAAGCCGTTCTGCTTTGCATTCAGCTGTGTCATCTGCTACAAGAAGAGGTCTAATCAGTTACAAGAGTTGCTTTAAAGTCAAAACACATGACTTTGAGGTATTAACCCAAGTCAATGAGAAGATCTGAGCCAAACTTGATTCTGCAACTCGCAGACTCAAGAGAGAGAGAGAGAGAGAGAAGCAAAGACAAGAGAGTTTACTTGAATGTGGAAGCAACAGGATTCAAATGTGGGCTATGTAGAATATACAGGAGAAGAGAAAGACACCATTTGCATTATTGCATGTACTTTTTTCTTTTCTACAAATTCACAATTTTGCCCCATTTGATAATACCATTAGCTAATTGTGCGTGATAATACTCAATTCCGCGTGTGAGATTGAATGGGGTGAATGGTGATGATGAATATGGAATTGAAATATAACGAGAAATCTTCTACCCAAAGTAAAAAAAAAAAAGTATATAATAGATAAAAGTATTATGTGAAAGTATCTGCATATTAACCAAATGGTTTCGTGGTGTAGTTGGTTATCACGTCAGTCTAACACACTGAAGGTCTCCGGTTCGAAACCGGGCGAAGCCAATATTTTTTTTTTGTCAATCCAGTAACGATAACTCATTTGGTTTTGGTTAACAAAAATACTATTGGGGTGAGGTTGAGTCATTGATTCCACGTTCTAATCTGGTCTCGGTTAAGGGAGATTATGGTAATTAAAAAAAAAGAATACATTATACATCATGTATGTGCAAAATCTTCTGATTAATCTCATCCATAACCTTGGTTAAGTGACTTACAAGTAATTTGCTTTGAAATTCAAAATGGATCAATCTGATCAATCCACTCCTGCTTGGACATTCCCCTGAAATAAGATCCCATGATTTTTAGTCTGAAAGGAAGTTTACCAGCAACATTACAAACCTTTCTTGCAAGATCCTCGAAACCATCTTTAGGGAGCTTTTGACCAAAAGCAGCCATACAAAAGATTTGCAAAGCTTCATACTCTGATGGCAAACCGACTCTGTAAGTATAACCGATCCTAAGTGCCTCCAAAACGTTTCTATCTTGTACCGCGATGATAATTCGACTTCCAGGACCCAACCACGTTCTCTCTTTCATCATTGCATCTAACTGTGCCGATCTTTCAACGTTATCAATAACAAGAAGCTCTTTCTTGCGTTTCAGCCTCTCTCTTTCAACTCCAAGATTAAAGACTTGGTTATCATCACCACTTTGGTCCGTTAGCAAAGACATAAACTCCGAATCAGAACAAGCTGGTCTTGGTCTTGTGTTAAGCGCTTTGATATCCTTGATATAGAGACTCACGTCGAATCTTTGAGAGAGTTGGTGAAACAGAAATCTTGTGATTGTGCTCTTACCACTCCCAGGGAGACCCCAAATGCCTATCGTTCTCACTTCATCAGAATCTAGGCATAAGAGCTGTCTCATCTTTTCCATGTGAGCTCCCATTCCAACTAAGTCGCTGAAATCAATTGATCTCATGAAAAGATTCAGCTTCTTTGAAACATCAGTTGCGATATTCTCGACCATGGCTGCTTCATTATCCCTGATCAATGCAATGCATCACGAAAAGAAAATGAAAATCATGAAAACATAAAAGTATTATAAAACAAATAATAAAATTGGGACGAACCAGTTGCTTGAATGATAACCAGCAATTGTGGCAACTTCAGCCAAAGCTACTCTCCATCTCCTAATTTCGTCTCTAGTCTTACCGGCACAAGTTTTTCGGAAGACTTTCCCAAACTCACCGGTTTGCTTACGTACATGAGATGGATCCACTTTGTAGAAAATGGCTATCACTATCTGACCAAACTCTCGCCTACACTTCATAATCTCCACCAACTCATCAAGACACCACTTGGAAGAAGCGTAGTTCCTCGAGAACAAGACGACCGCTATTTTAGATCCTCTTATCGCCTTTACAAGCTGAAAAGAGATGGCTTCTCCTCTCTCCATCTCATGGTCACTGAATTGTCTGATTCCTTTTCTCTCGAAACCCTTTTGAATGTGACTTAAAAACTCTTTGCGGACATCTTCCCCGCGGAAGCTCGGAAAGACATCATGTGTCCAGTCCCGTGACAGAGAAGGTGATGGTGATGAGAGACATAACGAAGAAGAAGAAAGAAAATCGTTTTCTGTTTCTTCTTGCTCCAATCTTAATTTTCTATAAAGGGCAATGTAGCCTATTGCAGAGAGAAAAAGGGTAAGGCAAAGGGTAGGCTCCATGATTAGTATATGGTGGAGAGAGGAGTGATTGATTAAAATGAGGCTCCAAAATGTATTGACATAGTAATGTTGACTCCGTTGTCAAAAGAAAATTTCATGGATGTTTCTTATTATCACCAAGATATTTTTAATGTTTTGCGACCGACAAATCAATTCGTGGTCCGAGTCAACTTTGGTGGCTTCATTTCAGTTTCACTTTCATACATTCTGAACAAGTCTTGAGAGAATTTTCTGGAAAATATTAACCAATGAAAGTGATTTCGCCTGAGATTTTTTCATCTTCATCCATTTTATAAGTTGTTGAACATATAAGAAATTTGAATAAGATAGTTTCAAACTATAAACAAAGAGGCAAAGAAGATATGATGCCAATAAATTCTTGAGTTTATTACTGCAGAAGCAACTGCTGTAAACAAATCCATTGGAGGGAGAGAGGGAACAATGTTATTAAAAAAAAACTTTCCTCAGAGTCAGAACAGAAATACCCTAAAAGGCTCAATAGTAACGAACATTTCTCTTTTTCACATTGTTCATAGGAAACAAAAGACCATCACCATTCACTAAAAATTCACAGCTCCATCGTTTTTTCATCACTTAAGCTCTCCTCTCCCCATCTGCAAATACAACAATGCCAAACAAGTTACCCAGTGGAATGAACTGAGAAGATAAAGGTACAAACAACAAACCGAAATTCCACAACTCCGAAACCAAACTTGGTTATCACATTAAACAGTTAATACCAAATGATAAACCAAGCTCAAAATCAACTTAGCTGAATAAACCAACGCTACACAAAAATTCACAATTTTACAAAAACTAAAATTACCGATCTTATGATAATTGTTCTTAAATATTCTCATCCAAAAACAAATTTGATTCTACTTTTATATAGATTTCTCAAAACCAAATGCATGACTCTCAACGCCATTATCTTTCAGTAATCAAAGGAGTAAAAGAGTTTAAAAGGAGCATACCAATTGCTTGCTCAACGACCAGCGTTGAGGTTAAAGAGCATGCTTTGTCCACCAGGTAAGTAAGCCACGTTCGGAGACCTAGCCAGTGTAGCTGCAACCTCCCTTGAAGCCTCGATCCTCCTAAGCTCGATCAGTCCCATTCCCGCTTTAGCTGTTGCGTCGGAAATCAGCTGAGCAGCTTCACTCTCACCTTCTGCTCTTATAACCGCGGCTCTCCTCTCCTGGTCAGCCTTCATCACCACAAACTTCGACCTCTCCGCTTCCTGCTGAGCCACCTGCTTCGCCTCCACTGCCCTCGAGAACTCCAACCCGTATGAGAGGTGAGTGATGGCCACGTCGTCGAGCTCGATGTTAAAGTCCCTGGCACGCTTGACAAGAGAGTCACGGACAAGTGCTGACACTTGAGGACGCTCGGTGAGGAGCTGATCAGCGTTGAACTGAGCAACCACAGCCTTCAAGACCTCGTTTCCAATCGAAGGAAGAACCTTCTCGTCGTATTCGAGACCCAAGGTTTGGAAAATGGTCGGGAGACGCGAAACCTCCACAGTTCAATAAACCAAATTTAACACTGTTAGATTCCTCAAAACCCCAAATGGATAAAGCGGGTTTAGATGATGAACTTCGACAGACTAATTTCAGAATGATTCTCACACCATAAGCTTCTATATAAGAGTAACATTCATCGAATTATACGAACAAGTAAAAAGCAGATTATCCTAAACCCTAGATCTTGCGAACAAATGAAATCTTTGAGGGAAAAGGGGGTAAAATCAAAATCATTCCGAAATCAAACAAGGACTCTGGAATTGGATGTTAAATCGAAAACGGGAAGAACAAACCTCGGGGCGAGAGAGAACACGGAGAGTGAGATTAACCATCTGGAGATCCTTGGTACCGGATACGGAGGAGAAGGTGTGAGGCTTGGTACGGATGTCGAAGATGAAAGGCTTCTGGAGAAACGGGATCAGGAAGTGAGTCCCTTCACCGACGGTCTGATCCATCACTCCCCTGAAACGATCGAACAGCACCGCTCTCTCGCCACCATCAACCGTGTAGAGCGACGAGCTCAGTGCCGTCGCCGCTGTTCCGAGACCAAACGCCGCCTTCGCCAAATTCGTCAGGAACGAAACCGCTGCTTGTTGGCTTCCCATTTTTTTTCCCCCAAAAAACCTTGGCCGAGAAGAATTGAGAAAGAAGAGAGAGAGACGAAGGAGTTTAGGGTTTATGGATTGAACTTGGGATACCAGGGTTTAACTTTTAATAGGGCCAATATTCGACCGACCATTTTTAAAGCCCAATATTATAACTAAGGAGGCCCAACATAATCCCACAAAATTAAATGGGATGAAACAAAATATATAGGAAACACAACCCAAATGATCAATGCAAAGCAAATAAATTTGTTTTGGTTACAAGTGGTTTTAACAAATTTATTTTGCTGTGATGTTCTATCCATTCTGCAACGTGACTTCTCGTAAATATTACTAGTTTTATTAAGTTTATAAATAACATGCCTATGTTTGTCAAGAAACGAATTGTTATATGACTACCACTATGGCACTAAATTAATACTGTTTTAAAATTATTAATCCCTTAACTTAAGATTTTTTTATCATTCTTCAACATTTTACGTAACCATGTTTGTACGTATCAATATCATCCGAATAAGTACGGCAAATCAGGCAAACGACCAAATTTTATTACACATTTTTGTCTTTTGTAAGGGAAAAGGAAAACCATAAATAATTTAGTATTTAAAAGAAATTTCATGACACCAAGTAAAATAATTATATTTTCTTGATCAATACTCCCAAACTGTTATTTATGCTTTGTCCACCAAGTAAAGTAATATACA